GAATATGCATCCTGATTGTTTTTTGCGAAATCTACGTCTTTTAGTCTGCTACCCCCCAGTGGCACAGCGGTATGTCTGCGGATTTACAATGCTAGAAACCGGGTTTCGATACCCGTGGTGGGTAGAGCACAGATAAGCCATTGTTTAGTTTTATGCTTAATTACAAACAAAAAAGATTAAATAAAACCAAAATTCAGAGGAACAAAGATTTTTGTTTCTTGCTTTGAAATGTCATATTGTGTTGTAACCTATAGAGTGTATAATTCTTCTCGTAATTCATGGCATGCGCAAGTTTTACTGACGTCACGACAGTACAAATTGCAACGTTAAGCGTCCCTTATGTGACGTCATTTTAGTTTGTACTGACTGACAGACAACACACTACTGTAACTACGAGTGGTTAAAACAGGCGACCCCTCCAGGTGGTCTTTGGCCTTCTTGCGGGGAATTAAACTGATTTAAGAATTAATTGACAACTTCTCAAGGTAACGTTTCTGTAGCTTTGTTCTATGAAAACAACAACGACAGTTCTTTCTTATATAATCTTAGTTGTGTTCCCTGGTCCCTTGACGACAGGTATGAGGGCTTATAACGGTAAGATCCGGGTTTCGATACTTGCGGATGGCACAGCACAGATAACCCATTGTATAGCTTAGCGCTTAAGAACAAAACAAATAAACATGATAGAACGTCCTCCCGGATCCTTAAAGACCGACGCAAACGCCATCTGTCGCAGAAGATCTGCAAAAGCCTATCACACAAACTCTTTTGTCAGAAAACATATATTTTCCAATATAAAGTGATTCATACACACCTGACAATTTTTGATGGTAGAAGGACCTCACGGAATCGTAAAGTCCGATACGAACTGATGCAAACGCCATCTGTCGTTGGAGCCCTGCACAAAGGCCATTGTAAAGACTTTTCGGCCCTTCTTGTTTTCCGATAGTGAAGAGTGTACCAAGCATTCCATTATACCGTGGGGTGGTTGGTTTGTGCAGGGATTGGCTGACTTGTTTCACTGTTTGAGAAACAGTGGACTCGCCCTGGATCTGAAATAAGAGTAGTTTAGCAGCGAAATTAATTTACGGTAAAATAGCAATAATTATTTCAAAATAATAGCATTAGTACAACAATTACACTGTCACAATTTTTGAGTTAATGCCTAATCATTACCTCACATATATTTTAAATATTCCCGACTACATGTTTGTATGTTAACTCTTTGGCCTAGTCTAACATGGTGGTTAGGGCGCTCGACTCACAATCTGAGGGTCGTGTGTTCGATCCCCCGTCACTGAACATGCTCGCCCTTTCAACCATGGCGGCGTTATAATTGATGGTCAATCTCACTATTCGTTGGTAAAAGAGTAGACTAACAGTTGGCGGTGGGTGGTGTTGACTAATTGCCTTCCCTTTAGTCTATCACTGGTAAATTAAGGACGGTTAGCACAGATAACCCTCGTGTAGCTTTGTGCGAAATTCACAACAAAATAAACGTCAACCCTTTAATTCCTGGGAACGTTGGAACCAATCATAAAAATTATTAAAGCTTTGTTTTAATTCATGTTTATATATTTGCCTTTATGCAAAAAAAAAATGTTAAAGAGTAATTAACCTTTTATCTTGAGATGGTTTGTTAACGTTTCGGCGTCGTAGTGTAACAAGAAACGTTAAATATACATATGGCTTCTGATTTTCAGTTTTAACCGATAAATACCGGTAAAACACCCCGATTGAAGTAGAAAAAAACAACAACATTAATTCGGCTTTTTTTTTTCAATAAGTTTGTTATTAAGTTTACTGCAGCTTCAGACTGGTACCCCGTTGGAACAGCAGACATACAGCTGTGCTACTGGGGGACTTTTCTAATAAGTACTGGAAATAGTTATTAAGTTTACTGCAGCTACAGACTGGTACCCCGTTGGAACAGCGGTAAGTCTTCAGATTTGCAACGCTATAATCAGCGTTTCGATTCCATTCAGTGGACACAGCAAATAGCACACACACACTAGCTACTTTCATGACTACATTGTCTTGGCATGTTACTCTGAAGGTAAAGGGAAACGTTTTGTCCGTTAGTGGTTTGTTTTAATACTTTCATATAAAATATTAACTACCCATGCAAGACTTTCACATACACAGAACTATGTTTAGAATTTGTTATTACTCCTGTTAGTGAAATTAGTGTACAAATAATATATAGTTCATTAGTATACTCGTTACCGGTGTTCCCTCTAAGCTGCGCGGCCGCACAACAGCCAATCAAGTGCCGCGCACTTCATTATTCCAGCTGCGCACATCCTCAGTAATGGTGAGGAGTCTCAACATGTTGACGGCCTTAATGATCCAATAGGGTAGATGGTCTAAAAATACCCTCCCTCCCCCCAAAAAAAACAACTGGTAACGCACATCTGCACATTGCCTTGGTACTTGTGCACATGAAAAAATGCATTCCGCACATGGATTGAAAAAAAATTAGAGGGAACATTGCTCATGACGGTGTTAAAAGAGAAAACTCAGAAAACACCGATTTTAGAATAAGCTAAAAATAAACACTGAAAAACAGAAGCCCTAAATATACATTAGAAAACAAAACTGAAACCATGACTAATGAGGACAGTATTAATGGAATTTTCTATGTCTGCAGGTGAAAAATGTGTTTCACTTTGTACACCCACGTTTATATACTTCTATTTCGAAATCATTTTTATGGCACTAATGTTTTGTTATCCTATGGTTTTGTGGTCATTAATTTTTTATTTAATTATTAATTATCATCCACAGAATACGATGTATAAATGAAAATTGTCATCTGTATTTGCTTGTTTGTTGATAAGCACGAAGATACACAATGGGCTGTCTGATCTGTGCCAATCGCGAATATCGAAATCCAAGGTTCGATTCTCCACGATGAGCCAAGAGCAGGAATCCCATTGTGTAGTTTTGCGTTAAATAAAAAAAAACTAATTTTTATATGTGTGACTGCTTGATTTAGCTCCTTTAAAGTAAATTTGCTTGATTATTTTCTTTAACAGTTTTTTTTTTTTTCGGAAATTATTTGTTTATTGGATTTCGCGCTAAGTTACAGGAGGGCTAACTGCGCCATCCGTCTAGACAAGAAGGAAAGCGGCTAAGCAACGCTACCTAGCGACGAAAAGCGAAATTTAAGCGTTACTCTTAAAGTAACCGAGGGCTCGTAGACGTAGCGCAGAATGTGTAGGCTCCACTGCGAATTTTAACATCGGATCCCCCTTCATATCTGTTTTATTATCATTTGTGGGTCCTTGTTTAGTGTGGGCCCTCCCGCATAGCGAGGTCTGCGGGAACTGTTGCTACGTTCCTAAAACGCAGGAAGCTTTTTCAGTATGTGCGGTGACGAGATGATCTCAGCTTTACAGTTGGGCACGCTAACCACTAGGCTACGTTTGACCTTTTTATGTGTTAAAATAAAACGCTGAAAATTAATAAAACAGGTCTTCTGCTTCAAAATTTTATTAGACTGTTCATTCATTTTAATTTGAAATTCTCTCTAGCTATCTACACTTTTTTTTTCACGCTCACAATATGACAGGTCTCATTGTGTTTGGATAAGTGTAGTTTTAAATATCTGAAATTGCTTTATATGTGAAGGTCACGTTTACGTAAGTTTTCCTGATCTTTCACTGAGGGATTCGAGGTCAGGGGAGGAAAATCAAAATAAGGTATCTGAGTATGGAATGATTTTAAATGTATAAGTACTACGTATTAGATTACTAGTAAAAACAACTTTGTTTCCAAGCTCTAGGCCTAGCGAATATAGTCAGTTGCAACTTTGTTTCCAAGCTCTAGGCCTAGCGAATATACTCAGTTCACAACTTTGTTTCCAAGCTCCAGGCCTAGCGAATAAAATCACTTGCAGCTTTGTTTCCAAGCTCTAGGCCTAGAGAATAAAGATAATTCACGAAGTCGATAAATCATTTTAAAAAAAGAACCGGCTGTAATTAAAAGTTTATAAATGAGGAGTCTGAGAAAAAAAGGACACGTTGCATCAAAAGAAGCAATACTCGTAAGAAATCGTTAATATTACTGTTGCTCTGAAAACAGTAGTAACAACATCGTAACAAATAAACAAACAAAAACAGTAAATGTTATTACGATGTTTTTTATTAAGCCCAAAGCAACATAGTGGGTTTTCTATGCTCTGCCCACCATCAGTACCTTAACCCGATTTTTAGAGTTATACGCCCTCTGATTTACCGCTGAGCCACCGGGGGCTTCTCTCTGAGGGTAATTATTATAAAATATGTTTTGTTTTATTATATAATAAAAATAGAAATGGCAAGTATAGGTGGTTCTTCTTAGTTTTTATGATATATCTTTGGTCACAAACAACGCAATAAAAGAAGGATAAAGGAAAATTCAAGTAATGACAAGAAAAGAGGGCCTTTTAGTGCATGACAAAGAAATATGACATCAGTGACAATATAAAGAAGTGTTGAGATAGAAATATGACATCAGTCACGATATAAAGAAAGTGTTGAGATAGAAATATGACATCAGTGAGGATGTAAAGAAATGTTGAGATAGAAATATGACATCAGTGAGGACATAAAGAAGTGTTGAGATAGAAATATGACATCAGTGAAGACATAAAGAAGTGTTGAGATAGAAATATGACATCAGTGAAGACATAAAGAAGTGTTGAGATAGAAATATGACATCAGTAAGGATGTAAAGAAATGTTGAGATAGAAATATGACATCAGTGAGGACATAAAGAAGTGTTGAGATAGAAATATGACATCAGTGAAGATATAAAGAAAGTGTTGAGATAGAAATATAACATCAGTAAGGACACAAAGAAATGTTGATATAGAAATATGACATCAGTGAAGACAAAGAAGTGTTGAGCTAGAAATATGACATCAGTGAAGATATAAAGAAAGTGTTGAGATAGAAATATGACATCAGTGAAGATATAAAGAAAGTGTTGAGATAGAAATATAACATCAGTAAGGACATAAAGAAGTGTTGTTCTTTTGTTAATATGACATTATTTAGTCTTCTTAGATTAGAAACCTATAGAGTCAGGCATGTACAAGTTCTATCAAAGTTGTGTTTTAAATTACTGTGTAATGGGGAATAGGCTTTTTATAACTTTTATATTTATAAGAATAGACAGTTGTTCGTACTTAGAGGAAATGTCCTCGCTGGGACAGTGGTAAGTCTACATTGAGCTATATGCTGTGTCCACCGCGGGGAATCGAACTGCGAATTCTAGCGTTGTACCTCTTAGAATTAAAAATGTTAAAATCATTAAA